TCGGAACCTCGCCCGCCGAATCCTTCCCGCGCCAAAATGCTGGGTTGGGGGGGTCGCCCGTGGATCCCGCCCTTCACTGGAATGCTGGATCGGTGCCTCGCCCGCCGAATCCTTCCCGCGCCAGAATGCTGGGCTGGGGGGGGGTCGCCTGCGAACCCTCCCCGCACCTGAAATGCTGGATCGGAGCCTCGCCCGCCGAATCCCCCCGCGCCAAAATGCTAGGTGGGGGGGGGGGGGGGGGCGCCCGTCGAACCTGCCCCGCGCCAGAATGCTGGATCGGAGCCTTGCCCGCGGAATCCTTCCGGCAGCAAAATGCTGGGTTCGAGGGGTCGCCCGTCGAACCCGCCCCGCACCTGGAGTGCTGGATCGGAGCGTGGCTTGCCGAATCCTTCCCGCATCAATGTGCTGGGTTGGGGGGGGCCCCCGTCGAGCCCGCCCCGCACCTGAAGTGCTGGATCGGAGCCGCGCCCTCCGAATCCTCTTCGCGCCGAAATGCTGGGCTGGGGGGGGGGGTCGCCCGTCGAATCCGCTCCGCGAAAGAATGCCGGATCTGAACCTCGCCCGCCGAATCCCCCCCGCGCCAAAATGCCGGGCTGGGGATGTCGCCGCTACCCGCTGCCAGCGCCCCGCCTTCCGGTCTCCCTCGCGGGTGCGATGCCGACGCGGCCTCCGCTGCGTATCCTCTAACATCCAGCGCAACTAGCCGCGGCAATGGTAATGAGGTGTTGGCCGAATTCCTCACGGGCGCCGCCGCCGGGATTTGACCCCCTCTACCAGCAACAGGTGGTCCTCTGGGCCTTCCTGCTTGCCCGGGGCGACGGGGAGGGCGTGGACTGGCCCGCCCCCCGCCGCGGGACCACTCGCCCAGGCAGGGGCTCAGTGGACGGAGGAGGAGGAGGAGGAGGAGGAGGAGGGGGAGGAGGAGGAGGAGGAGGAGGAGGAGGAGGAGGAGGAGGAGGAGGAGGAGGGGGAGGAGGAGGAGGAGGAGGAGGAGGAGGAGGAGGAGGGAGGAGGAGGAGGAGGAGGAGGAGGAGGAGGTGGCCCGTGCTGCTGCCCACTCCTCCTTTCGCAGGCCTGGAGGGGCCAGGCGCGACCGGGCAGTGGACCTCCGCCAGTGTGCGCGGCCCTGGCCCGCGGCGTGCAGCGTGGCGATGCGGGGCGCCGCCCCTCCCCCTCTCTGCCCCGCCCGCGGTCCCCGTTCCTTGCCCCCCCCCCTGCTCGCGCGGCCCCTGCTGGCAGTGCGCGGGCACTGGAGTGCGGAGGAGGCCAATAACTTCGGTACGACGACTGCAGCCTCGCAGCGTGCTCAGAAAGGGTCCCTCCCGCCAGGCGCCTCGCACGGCTGCGGATGCCCCGGCGCGCGGGTCGCGCCCCGCACGGGCCTCGCTCTTGGCGGCGACAGGCGTAGGCAAAATCACAGGGCACTTCCTCCCGAGTGATCACGTGTGGGCCCAGACGAATCGGCAGCTGCCCGCCTGGGGCCTGTCGGGCCGTGCAGCAGCTGCCAGCATCTGGAAATAGCAACCCTTCTTGGCGCCGGCGGCCTCTATGCGTGCATCCGCGAACTGCTCTTCAAGGGGATTGGCTCAATTCTTCTATCAGCGCGTACGCTCGCCGCCCCTGTTCGCCGCCTGCGCTCTTCGCTCGCGGCCGCGACCAAAAAAAGTACGCTCGCCGCTCCAGCCACGGGAGGAACGCGTTGAGGTTGGCGGTGGCTCCCCCGTCGAACAGACTGGTGGGCGCCGAACTCCCAGCAACACCCTGGCTCCGGGCCCTCGCGCTTCTTGAAGAAGCCCGCGCCACCTCAGGCTTCCGCTTGCCGACCAGACGCCTCACGGAGGCGGCCGTGGCAAGGATCGGTGGCTGCTTGCAGCTGGCCCTCGCGCTGGGGCCGCTCGCCTTCTTGGCCAACCCTGACGCGCCAAAGGAGGTCGGAGGACTGCTTCGGCCACGGCACCGCTGGATTTGGGCGCGAATTCATGGGGGGCGATACAGCCGGAAATAGGACAAGAAAATGATCAGTTCAGAAATCTGGGCCAGCTTCCTAGAGGTCTCTTGAAACACGCCTGGGCAAATTTCTGTTGTTCACGCTCGAGAGGCGAACGTGCCCAAGAAACTGGATCAGCTTTCTTGCAAGTAGGTTAAGAAACGCTGACCCAGTTTTTCGTAAGGGGGTTTCTGACATCAGATGCTCGACTGTACATGGGCGGGCAAGGACAGTGCTCTTTTCGGGTCCTGCAAGCCCCCCCTCGCTGCCCCTCACTCAATTACCGCCCCCCCCCATTTACCGACGCCCAAAGGAGACCATGTTGGTATCACTGCACCGACCTTGCAGACGTGCTGCAGCGGATTTTTGCGAGGATTCCTGTCTATGCGAAACCCCGAAACTGCGAGCGAAAATCAACATGCATTTCACGTGGAGTTTTGTTCAGTCTTCATTCCTGTTCAAACAAAAACCGCACGGAATTCACTTCGAATCCGGAACGCAATTCTCCAGGACACTCCAGGCCCATCCCATCGTTTTCCGAACGAAGTCCGCTCTGCGCTGTTGGCGCCATGACTGGTAGGCTCCAGCTAAACGACAGCCCCCTCCAACACCTCCTCCAGCCCGTCCGTCACGGGCTCCGTGCACGGTGGTTGCGGCGGTGCTCGAGGACCCCCCGCAGCGAGTTGCCCCTCGAGCGAGGCCACCTCCTTCCGCAGGTGCTCCGCCTCCTGCCGCGTCGCCCCTCGGGCTGCCAACGCTGGGGCCGCGACCTCGCTGGCAGGCTCGTGGCGCTTGCTGGCGCGCTCCAGGCCTGCTCGCGCTCCGTCGAACCTTTTCCCCGTCGGAGGAGGAGGAGGAGGAGGAGGAGGAGTAGGAGGAGGAGGAGGAGGAATGAGGAGGAGGAGGAGGAGGAGGAGGAGGAGGAGGAGGAGGGGGAGGAGGAGGAGGAGGAGGAGGAGGAGGAGGAGGAGCTCTGTCTCGCAAGGCCTGCGCCGCTCCCTCTCCGGCTGCTCCGTGGGGATGGCTCGCGTTGCCTCGCGCCCGATCCCCGCCTGCCAGGCCTGCAGCGCCGCCTCGAGGTGCCCGATGGGTGCCGACCGCCGCGTCCGAGAAGCCACCTTCTCCGCCGGGCTGCCGGCCAGGCTGCTTGTGTCCACCGCCGCCCGACCCTTTGGGCTCCTTCGGCGAGGGCGCTGCAGCCTGGGGAGCCGTCGCAACTGGAGGGTCGTCGGGGCTGCCAGCAGTGGTGCAGCTGCCTGGCAATCTCTTGGTGGAGGCCTGCGAGGTGATGGTCGTGGCAGGCGCGGGTCGGGGCGTGGAGGCGCCTGGCAGCGCCGGAGCCGCCTCGGCATGCACGCCGCACGCCGCGCGCGCTGAGTTCGACAGGCTGTGCACCCCGCGTCCTTTGCACAGCCCCTTGCGCGTGGAAGACTGCTGTGATTTGGAGGCGGCCAGGGGGTCCGAGCTCGAGAAGCCCAAAGAAAATCGGTCAAGAGAGGTGGAGGGACGAGGGCAAAGTCGCTCAAAGTCCGTCCCCTTTAAACCCCTCCCAGGGTCGAACCTGGCTAGGTTATCGAGCCGCATCCAGCCGTGGCGACGAGCGGGCGGTTTCCTCCCCCCTTTCCTGCTGGCCCGAACCCGTGCTGGGCCACCCCAGCCCAACAGCTGGCTCCAAACTGTGATGAGCCTCTGCGCGATCCGGCGGAATTCCACTTGTCCAATGGATCGCGCTTCTGTTCCTCGGGCTGGCCCTGCCGCGCGCCCAGCGTGCCTTGAAGAGCACCATGCTGTGACGCCATCGGTCCGTGATAACTCGCAGAACGCGGGAGAGAGGCTCCCACCTTTGATTTTGGGTGCTGTCTCACAGCTGTCTCACGATCGGCGGCCCTCTCCCTGGGCAGCGACGCCTGGCGCCCAACTGGATGCGGCATGCATGCATCCATGTGTATGTATATGTGTACATATGCGAGTCTCTGTTTTTCTACATATACACACACATATATATATATATATATATATATATATGTACAGCGCCGAGTCGACATGGAGGCGCCCCTCACATGGGGCGGCCTGGAGACGAGTGAGCCTGGCAGGATCAGCCAGCACCGAGTCGAGACATCGGATCGAAGCGAACTGTGCGGCAGATCGGGCAGCATCGGCACGGATTTGACATCGAATCGGATCGGATGCGCCAAGGAAAAGCTCGAATTGAGCCAGGCCGGCTGGAATCGGCATCGGATTGATCGGATCAAAATTGACCCTGCAAGTCGCCGGGTGTTTTTCGGGCCATAGCTCAAGCCGATCGGGACGGCTCGGGCAACCGCGGAGAGCTCACGGCGAGACGCAGATCCCAGAAAGCATCCCGAGGCGAGAAAACATCCAAGATCCGACGAGCACTTCCTCCCCACCTCCCCTTCGACGACAAGGTGCCCGACATCCGCCGATCCTTTTTTTTCGAGGCGCGGCCCCAGAGGTCCCGACGCCTGCCCGCGGCCACTGCTTCGCCTCGGATCCCGTCTCGATTGCCCCGTGGAAACCGAAAAAAACAGCCCCCCGCAGCGGACATCGAGAAAAATAGCGCCCCGAGGCCACCATCCTGGAGCATCTGGGGGCCTCCAGGAGCGCTTCGGGGTCTGGCATCGGAATGCTCGCCGCAGGGGTCGATCAGCAGGGAGCTGTTCCGCTCTATCGTTTCCGGTGAACCCGGTCGGCCGCTGCTTGATACGGGTGTAAAGGAGGAGGAGGAGGAGGAGGAGGAGGAGGAGGAGGAGGAGGAAGAGGAGGAGGAGGAGGAGGAGGAGGAGGAGGGAGAGGAGGATGAGGAGGAGGAGGATGAGGAGGGGACGGAGAAGGAGACGGAGGAGGAGGGGGAGGAGGAGGAGTAGGAGGAGGAGGAGGGGGAGGAGGAGGAGAGGAGGAGGAGGAGTAGGAGGAGGAGGAGGAGGAGGACGACGACGAGGAGGAGGAGGGGGAGGAGGGAGGCAGAGGAGGAGAGGGAGGAGAGGGAGGAGGAGGAAGAGGAGGAGGAGGAGGAGGAGTCCTGGAGACGAGGGAGCAAGGCGCTGGGAGAGTGCCGGCGCCTCGGCAGGCGCCCAGGGCGCGCGCGGCGGTCAGGCCCAGGCGCTGTCACACCGCGGGGCCGTCGCCGCGCCCCGCGCCTTGCGGCGGCTGCAGCGCGCGCGCGGGCGATGGGCGACGGTGCTTGTGGAGGTCTGCACGGCTTCCTCGAAGACCCGCACGGTTTTCTCGGATCGGCGATGGATACCCCTGCCTGGTGCGCGGAGCGCGCCAGGGGCAGCGCCGGAGGCGCCTTCCCTGCAATCCCGCCGCCTTCCGCAGCCGTTTTACTTCCGCCAGCCTTCCGCCGAAGGCGAGACTCACCAAAGGCGAGGGTCTTTCTGGAACGCCCCGTACTTGCAGTGACATTACTTCAGGCAGCCCGAATTCAAGCGCACGAAGGTACCTGGCATGACGCCCGAAGGTACCTGTCAGGAAACTTCCCTGGGCAGCCTGAAGCTAATTACAGCAAGCTCGTGTCGTGTCGACCCCAGCGGTGGTTCCTGACACCGAGGGGATCGTTCAATCTTGAATGACCCGCCGTCTCCGAAACGCCAAGGGTCGCCAGCGGTGTTCAACTTTGAACGCCGGCGGCGGGGCCGCCGCCGGTCGACACGACGCGAACGTACTCTGGATTCCAGAATAAAGTCGGGGGGGTCACATTTGGGGGGGGGGTCTGATTTGAGCTGTCTTGGAGGGTTCGGGGGGGTCTGGGCAAAGGGCCGCCCTTTCATGGATGGTCTGGGGGGGTCTAAAACTTCTCGTCTGGGAGGGTTGTGACCCCCTCCCTTTTATTACGAAATCTGGAGTATCGTTCGGCAGCCTGGATTTGGCGAGTCTGGGGCAGCAGGTCCGGGGCACCGGGCACCGCGGCTGTGGCCACTCACGGCGCCCGTGTGTGCGGATATACCGCGCACCTGTGTCCCCGCCGCGAAGGACTGGCACGGGGCCACAGAGACCTGCCAGGACGCTTCCCCGGAGGTGCCTGCCAAGACGCCCACCTGCCGTGGCGGGGAGGACACAGGATCGCAGATCGACGCCGATCGCCCCGCTCCCACCGCTCGCCTAGGCACCACCTCTGGACCTGCTACCCCCCCCCCCCTAGCTCACCCCAGAATCCGCCCGCCCCCTCCCTAAATGGCACCCACATCCCGGTCCCGCCATCCGCCGAAAACCACGACCACGCTGAAACGTGTGGAGGAGGAGACGGGGGATGTGGAGGGCGACGGGGAGGGGTAGGAGGCTGAAGAGGAGGAGGATTCGCGTCGAGATCTTCCGGCGCACTCTGGCTCGGCGTGCTTCTTCGAGGGCGGATGAGGTTCAGCGTCGCCACTCCTGTACTATTCTGGGCATAAGATGGCTCCAGAAGGGCTCCAACACGCCGAAGAGGCCTCAACAACACCCAAAATGGCCTCAAGACGGCCCAAGACGCCCCCAAGACGCGGAAAGAGGGCCCCAGGAAGACCCGCAAGAGGGTCCCTAGATGTATGCATCATTCACATAGGCCTTGAATGATGCTTATGTTATCGTCATTTCGGAGGCCGAGCCAGCAACAACTACATGCAGGCAAAACGACAGGAACTGGCAATCTAGACATCTCCTCTTCCGGGGGTCGGCGGGATGGCGCAAACCTCTTGAGTGAGAAGCCCCCCTGGGCTTTCTCGGAATGCAGCCCCACTCGCATCCTCTTCTCTTCTGGACGCGGCCGGGCCACGGCGGAGCCCCCCTGCTGAACTTCGCTCCCTGCCCTTCGGCTTCCACGTGAGGACAAGATACGAACACGACATGGCGGCGTCGTGTCGTGCTATTTGTGTGCAGGTCTCTGAGGCCGCTTAGGCAGTGCAACCTTGAACGATCGCGGCCTTCCGATCGCGCCGGATCGCCTGATGTGGGCCGATTCCTGGCAGCTGGCGGCGTTCAGCCTTGAATGCTCGCGCTGCCGTCGCCGCCGCGTCGACACGGCACGAACCTGCCGTACCGTGTTCCTCGCCATGGCTCGGCCGTCCATTCCTCGTGCACTTTTCGGATCCGTGCGCGTACTTTCGCCGAGCGATGCCAAAATTCTCATCCCACGTCAGGCGGGGCGCCAGGGCGTCCCGCGGACGCGGTGGTGACCCGCGGCCGAGCAAGACCGCGCTCCGAGGGGCGCTCTGGAACGCTCTGGGTGGAACGGCTCGCTGGCAGTCCTTAGAAGGAGAAAAGACGGCATAAGCAGAAACTGTTGGCGCTCCGCGCGAATTTCTCGGATCTGCGATGGAACCCCCTCGCTTGGAGGCGCCGCCGTGGGGACCCAGCGCAGATCCAACAAATCAGCGCGGAGCGCTAACAATTTATGCTTATGGCGTTTTTATTATTCGAATCCTGGCTTCTCTGGTCAGTGGTTTTCGGCGCTTCGAGGGTCTGTCTCCGGACCTCTGCTCAGTGCGAGTGTTTGCACCGGTGTGTGCTATGGGGAAGACTTTCGATAGCCCCAGGGTAGGCGGTCCTCCGGACGCCGAAATTGAGGAACATCGCCAGTACGAGCAACAAGTGACAACGGTGAAATCTTGGCTATTGAGTCCTGCCAATGCAATAAGGCATCGAGAGAAATTACCCTGGCGACGTACCCAACCCCTGCGCAATGCGGGGCGCGAGTAGCCTGGGACACGTTGTACAGATGTGATGACGTGACATGGGCGCATCTGATTCTGCGAGCGGCATTCGTGAGGCTCGCAGCCCCCCAGGGACGGCGAGGTCCAGCTCAGATCTGCGTGGTGCCTCACTCCGCTGGACACGCCAGCAACCTTCGAACAAAAAACTACAATTTCGCAGATCGCAGCCCCGAGGACGGCGAGGTTCCGCTCAGATCTGCGCGGTGCCCCACCAGCAGCCCGCGAAGGTGGCGACAATTTCGCAGATCGCAGCCCCCCCCCTAAGGGACGGCAAGGTCTCGCTCAGATCTGCGCGGTGCCTCACTCTGCTGGACCAACCAGCAGCTCTGGAAAGTGGCGACAGGACGGCGAGGTCTCGCTCAGATCTGCGCGGTGCCTCACCTCGCTGGGCCCACCAGCAGCCCTGGCGGCAGTTTCGCAGATCGCAGCCCTCCAGGGACGGCGAGGTCTACCTCGGGTCTGCGCGGTGCCTCACTCCGCTGGACCCACCAGCAGCCCTCGAAAGTGGCGACAATTTCGCAGATCGCAGCCCCCCCCCAGGGACGGCGAGCTCTCGCTCAGATCTGCGCAGTGCCTCACTCCGCGTCAATTTCGCAGATCGCAGACCCCCAGGGATGGCGAGTGGCGAGGTCTCGCTCAGATCTGCGCGGTGCCTCACTCCGCTAGACCCACCAGCAGCCCTCGAAAAAAAACTACAATTTCGCAGATCGCAGCCCCCAGGGACGGCGAGGTCCAGCGGAGTGAGGCACCGCGCCGATCTGAGCGAGACCTCGCCGTCCCTGGGGGGGGGCTGCGATCTGCGAAACCGTCGCCACTTTCGAGGGCTGTTGGTGGGTCCAGCGGAGTGAGGCACCGCGCAGATCTGAGCGAGGCCTCGCCGTCCCTGGGGGGCTGCGATCTGCGGAATTGTCGCCACGTTCGAGAGCTGCTGGTGGGTCCAGCGGAGTCGCGCAGATCGCGCAGATCTGAGCGAGACCTCGTCGTCCTTGGGGGGGGGGCTGCGATCTGCGAAACTGCCGCCAAGGACCCACCAGCAGCCCTCGAAAGTGACAACAATTTCGCAGATCGCAGCCCCCCCCAATGACGGCGAGGTCTCGCTCAGATCTGCGCGGTGCCTCACCTCGCTGGGCCCACCACCAGCCCTCCAAAGTGGTCGCAGCGCCCCCTCCCCCACCTCCCCCAGGGACGGCGAGGTCTCGCTCAGATCTGCGCGGTGCCTCACTCCGTGGGCCCACCAACAGCCCTCGAAAGTGGCGACAATTGCGCAGATCGCAGCCCCCCCCCAGGGACGGCGAGGTCTACCTCAGACCTGCGCGGTGCCTCACTCCGCTGGACCACCAACAGTCTTCGAAAGTGGCGACGGTTTCGCAGATCGCAGCCCCCCCCCCTCCCCTAGGGACGGCGAAGGTCTCGCTCAGATCTACGCGGTTGCCTCACTCCGCTGGACCCACCAGCAGAGCCTCGAAAGTGGCGGCAGTTTCGCAGATCGCAGCCCCCCCCCTCCCCTAGGACGGCGAGGTCTCGCTCAGATCTGCGCGGTGCCTCACTCCGCTGGACCCACTAGCAGCCCTCGAACGTGGCGACAATTTCGCAAGATCGCAGCCCGCCCCCAAGGACGGCGAGGTCTCGCTCAGATCTGCGCGACTCCGCAGTTTCGCAGATCGCAGCCCCCCAAGACGGCGCGAGGTCTCGCTCAGATCTGCGCGACTCCGCTGGACCCACCAGCAGACCTCCGAAAGTGGCGGCGTTTCGCAGATCGCAGCCCCCCCCCCCCCTAGGGACGGCGAGGTCTCGCTCAGATCTGCGCGGTGCCTCACTCCGCTGGACCCACCAGCAGCCCTCGAAAGTGGCGACGGCTTCGCGGAACGCAGCCCCCCCCAAGGACGGCGAGGTCTCGCTCAGATCTGCGCGGTACCTCACTCCGCTGGACCCACCAGCAGCCCTCGAAAGTGGCGACAATTTCGCAGATCGCAGCCCCCCCCCAGGGACGGCGAGGTCTCGCTCAGATCTGCGCGGTGCCTCATTCCGCTGGACCCACCACCAGCGCTCGAACGTGGCGACAGTTTCGCAGATCGCAGCCCCCCCCCAAGGACGGCGAGGTCTCGCTCAAATCTGCGCGGTGCCTCGCTGGACCCACCAGCAGCCCTCGAAAGTGGCGGCAGTTTCGCAGATCGCAGCCCCCCCCCCCAGGGACAGCGAGGTCTCGCGGGAGACAGGAGGCGGAAGGCAGGAGGAGAAGGACGCGACGGCAGTGCTCCATTCAAAACGAATACCCAACCAAGAAAGCTGGAAAACAGAAACACGCCGACTTAGGCCAGTGATCCTCTTGCCATCCCCCTCCTTCTCCTCCTCCACCATCCTTTCTCCTACTTCCCCCTCATTCCCCCCCCTCCTCTCGTCCTTCCCCGTCCTTCCCCATGATTATGGTGTCGGCGTTCGGCTGCACCCCCCCAGTCTGCCTATGCCGTCACCGTCCGTGGTCCAGAATGCGACGGGGACCTGGACTCCACCTCGCAGGCGCAGCGAACAGAAAGCGAGAGGGGAAGCGTAACACTGAGGATCAGCAGTGCAGAGGCAGGGTGAGGAGAAAGGGAGACAGAGAGAGAGAGAGAGAGAGAGACAAAGAGGGACACGTATCACCCCGCAGATGCGGATAAGAATGAGGGGGCGGTGGGAACGTCGGCAGTCTGCGAGACTCTGGAAAAGCCCGCTGCAAGCGCTAAACTTTCACACGTTACACAACGAGCCCGCCGCAAGCGCCGGTTTTCTTCAAACCAATGTGGATCGGTCGCGGGTGGGTCGCGGGTCGGGTGGGTCGCGGGGTGGGTCGCGGGTGGGTCGCGGATGGGTCGCGGGGTGGGTCGCGGGTGGGTCGCGGGGTGGGTCGCGGGTGGGTCGCGGGTGGGTTGTGGATGGGTCGCGATGTGGGTCGCGGGTGGGTCGCGGGTTGGGTCGCGGGTGGGTCGCTGGGTGGGTCGCTGGGTGGGTCGCGGGGTGGGTCGCGGGGTGGGTCGCGGGGTGGGTCGCGGGGTGGGTCGCGGGTGGGTCGCGGGGGTGACGACGACAACAACACCAACAACAACACCACAAACAGCAACAACATCAACAACAGCAGCAGCAACAACAACAACATCAACACCACCAGCAACAACAACAGCATCATCAACAACAACACCACCACCACCAACACCACCAACACCGACAACAACACCAACACCAACACCTTCAACACCAGCAGCAGCAACGCCAACAACCACAACAACACCATCAACACCACCAACCACACCACCAACACCACCAACAACAGCACCAACACCACCACCATCACCAACAACAGCAACACCAACAACAACATCAACACCACAACGACACCACCAACAGCAACACCAACACCAACAACACCATCACCACCACCACCAACACCAACATCAGCAACAACAACAGCAACACCACCACCAAAAACAACACCAAACACAACAAGAACATCAACACTACCAGCAACACCAACACCAACAACACCAACAACATCAACATCACCAACACCAACAACACCATCACCAGCAACACCACCATCATCACCAACAACAAGCACAGCAATAACAACAACGCAACAATCAGAAGCCTCACCACGGAGTCTCACTTCAGCCACGCACCCATGGATAATGAATGACCGTTCGGCCCCCTCACTCTGACCTGCATATCGTATAGGTATGTGTATGTATTTATGTTTATAAATAAAAGGGGACATCGAGAGAAATACATATAGAGAGAGAGAGAGAGAGAGAGAGAGAGAGAGAGAGAGAGAGAGAGAGAAAG